GGACATGTTCCATTGCCAATATTCCATGTTCGAACTGTAAAGTCATAGGAGCAAGATGCCAATAAGGTGCCATTGTGAGGAGAGCACTGGTGAGAAATAATGGATGAGATGATAACTTTCTGTAATCGACCCTGACTATAACTGACTTCTTGATGTGAAAACATGTTTAGAATATGTTCATACACCTGTACATGTAAGTGAATGAGTGAATGGCCTCTTCTTTTACATGTATGTCATTCTATGTGTATCATCTTCACTTAAGCTACTGTTTGTAGCAGTTTTTTTAAGTGACAATCAGCTCTCTATACACAGGAGGGACTCAGGGGGCCTCTCTGTCACTTAGCTCCAATAAACAGAGTATTGTCCTTGATTGAAAATAGCTACAGTGTATGAAAATGACAAATAATCAATTTGAAAAGAAATCAGACCATAAAAATCAAGTGTCACCAAAAAAGTTCAGTATTTGGTTCAGAGAAAAAGGCAGGACCCTCCTTCCAAATACGAAGTTTACTAACTAAAAATAATCAAAACTTTAAAAAAAAAAACTACAAGGGTTTGCATTATTACTGGGGAAAATTACACACTAGAGAATAAAAACACTGCACAACAGCTGAACACAGGTCACCAACTTGGTCACCTTCCTCAATATTTAGACACTTAAATGTTTTCCCCTCACCATGGTGGCTACACTGGTTAGGGATAGAATCACTGTTTTAAAAAATAAGGGAGTTGCATGAAGGCCAACAATGCCTTTTCCCTCCCAGGAAACTGGTTTTAAAGCGGTTCCTACCTTAACTCGTCTTACTGCATACTGGTGACCTTCAAGAGTAAACACAGGGGCTGTTGTGTTTCTAAGATCCCAACCTCTATTATAAGTTGGAAGAAAATCACACCAAACCAACCATTAGAAATGTAACTGCAGGGTGTACATGTATGTATATCTAGCTTTTACTTATTAATGTTCTACTTACTAGAAAAAAAAAAAGCTATGTTTTTGAAACAATATAAATAGACTAACTTTATTAGATGTCTTGTGATTCAAACTATGCTGTTTCCTAGACATATACTGTATATCCAACATGTGCAAAAGATTACTATAGATACCTATATTGCTTATAAATAACATTCTGGTACCTGATTTTTGTATCCACTGATCCTGTTACCACTAAATTCTACATAAGATACAAAAATGTTAGACAATTAAGTGAAATGTTCCTTTCTATATTATTTAGTCTTAATACCAACAGATGTACAACCACAATTAATCATTATCATATATTAAATTTGAATAAGGTTACATGACTGTACTTTTTCCCATAATAACTGTGAAAAAAATTCTAGAATACAGCTGTTTATATGTTCTTGAAATGAGGAAAAAGAACACATGCAAAAGAAAGAAAATCCAAACAAGTACATGTACTCAAGTAAAAGAGGTGTTAGTCATTTCAAAGATAAATGCATCCACCCTTTCTTCTTTTATTTGGCTCCAGTGACTGAGAGCATGGAAATCAGGCTAACTTTTTCATGCACTCATCACCAGAACAACAGTTGCACTTGAGATTATACCGTCACACAAACCCTTCACAATGGCCTCATGCACTGCTGCCATGTCCTTGGAATACAGAGTACATTTAAGTTTAGTTCTGCCTTGCCCCTAACAGTTGCCATTCACAATACAGTATATGTGTGTCTGTAGTTCATTTAAGGCATCAATCCAGACCCTTACCATGTCATATTTGGCCCAATCACAAGTGAGGACCTCCCCATCATGAGCCTGTATGGTCTGTTGAGCATGTGGAGGGGCTGATATGTCCCATATCCTGAGGGTGTTGTCTCCTACAATTTCAATTATAATGACTGACACGTAAATTATAAATGTAGTGGACATGAATCAAATCTATTTATGGTATCAATGGTGGTCTTCTTTTTGTTAATTCTAAAGTGCTTTTCTTAGTATAATTCTGTTGCCTTACACAAACTCTTGCCAACAGAGGTTAAATTTCTTGTAGACTTTTTTCTACTCTACTTCATCCTATCACTTCTTATTGCCTGTAATTAATTCTAAATTCATGACTCCAGTAACTGCTCTGTAACAATTAATGTAAGCCCTCCTCATTTCAAGAGTGACTTGTTGGTAACTAATTCCTCTTTTTTAACAGACAGACAAATAACGGGAAAAGCAAAAAAACATAATTGAGAGGATATCGTTTGATTTGACCCTTTAACTCCCACAAGTGACCAAGATAGAAGTTCCAATTAGTAAAATATCAGGCAGATAAGTGACAATGATAAAGAAAAATATCAATAAGGGGATTTTTAGTTGATCCAATACCAAATTATCCAAACTAACATCATAAAAACTGTATTGCAGACAGTAAGGAGAATTAACGATGAGATTTTGGCAGAGAAAGGATTAAAACCAAATTCTCGGCCTGAATTACCATTATAAGCAATGATTGTGAGGAAGGGGAACCAACAGTGAGATGTTTATGTAACCTGATACAGAAGCAAATGTCCTTGAAACATGTGGAGACCACACTGCACTGTATACTACATGCTGATGATCAGCAAATGTAGCTAGAGATTGAGCTCCATTTGGATCCCACTGAGAAAGATAGATACAGCATAAAATAAGTATGTTACAATATTCAATATTGTTGTTTTTTTTAATACCATAATATGGTACACATTTGCATCATAACTGCACTTATTAATCCTACCTGTCATGCTTGTAATTTGACAGTTTAATAGTACATGCACAGTCGATACATCATCTTGTGTTACTGGACAGTACACATCATGTGAATGTGCTGTTATTGTTCTATATTCTTGTGAAAATTTATAACAAATGGCTTCTCCGTTTCTTTTAGTTTTGATTAATTTTGATTAATGTGACAGTTTAAAGTACTGTTGACACATCATTCCTGTGCTACTTGACAGTAAACCAATACTTACCAGTTTTATGCTGTGATCCCAAGATGCACTTAAAAATTGATCAAGTTGTCTATTACAGCTCCAGTCAACACCATACACCTTAAGAAGTATAGATACGAGAAGTAAACTTATTTTCTTGTTACACTGTTGTATTAAAACATAAGCAGGAAAAACATGTAGCATTAACCATTATTATATTCAACCCTATGCAAAACAGCTATATTTTCACTGTAATTTGAGTCTGATTATTTTAATCAATGCCTCCCACCTCTGCACTGTGCTCTTTGCAGACCTTTATAGGACCCTAAACAAAACACGATGAATTAATTTTCAACTGCTTTACTCAGCGCATCATCACATTGTACATGTAAAACACAACCCAGTTCTCTTCTCTAAAACACAAGCCAATAACCCTTTACACCCTAAGATCAGTATGCATATTCTCCATACTGTTCTTCATACATTTCTAAAGAGGCTGACGAGGAGAATTTGTTTCACAATCAAGAGCTACTTTGATTGGTGACCATCTCCTCTATTCTTATAACTTTCATGTTTGATTCAGGGGTGGTATTGTAAGGAGAAATTAGATTTTAGTTACTCTTAGGGGATATGGGGCTAAGTCCTAAGCTATCCTAATTGGCTTGCAGGACCAAAGGATGTCTACACCATCAAGCTAACCCAACTTATTTTAATGCACCACAACTCAGTTTTCCAAATGGTCCGTTAGCTTCCAAAATTTACCTTTGGGTTTTTGAGATCCCACATCTGTATTGAACCATCTCCACTTGCAGCAATACTAAAATCCTGATTGTGCTCACTCCATGAACAATCAAAAAGACTCTCTCCCCACTCCCATCTATCAAAAGAAATTGTATTGTCTTTTAGTCCTCTCAAGTTCCTCGTTTCTGAGAGTGGATCTTTTTTCTTGTGTTTTTTTTTTAATTTGCATCAGACCTAAAGGTTTTTTTTGCTCTATGATCACTACAAATGTCTAAAACTGCTGAAATCATGAAAGAAATAATACAAAATTCTATTGATTACCCAGCAATTTAGTTCTAAGGTTAGGATGTTGACAAAATTGAAAAAAAAAATCAAGTTTAAGCTTTGCCACACCTGCTGATCACTTGAATTCCACTGGGAAGGATGTCCAGTACAAATAGTGTTCCACCACCTCGCATATGATAAAAAGTAATTTTTATAGAAAATCAATGATGAATGAAACATACATGTGCGTAAATTCCTGAAGAGAGATTTTACTTCCAACGTGTAACATTAATACTTCACATTGCTTGGAATGTATCAAAGATTTCATTTACCTGCTATTCCATAATGTTGTGAAGTTGCACAAAGGAATCTCTGACCAAAGTAGGGTGAAAACTTAACTGCATATCCATGACGTCCACGAGTGTGAAATGTCACAGCCATGACTGGACAAAAAGAAACTTAAATAGAGATGAAATTACATGGTGTATATTAAACCCTAAATATATTCATTTCAGTGATCGAATAAAACTATTGATGAAAAGTGAGTTTTAAATTCACAGTTGTGTGTGAACTATTATGCCTAATCTAAGGACAACCCATCTAGAGCTAAGTACACTGTGTAAGCGTCACGGAAAAATTACGCGACATTTGCAGTCAGCATATATGATGGATAAAGCGTTAGACATTATTTACCGCGCAAGATGTTTATGTTCTTGATAAGAGGAATATACCTGTTTCTATTGAGATAGAAATATATCGAGATCTTGGGAATCTCACATGCATGTATTAACGATGGTATGATTTCTAGGCGAAAAGGAAAAGGAAATGCGAAATATTCCTTTCGTGTATCATGACAGCCGCGAAAATTATAAATGCTTTTCTTGCATAATTCATCAAATGAATGCCATTTCCGGTGAAGAAATGAACCCTGTCTGGCAAAAAGTGATCTTATTATGATAAAGGTGATCTTATTATAATAAAAATGTCTGTCCGTAGAGGTAAAAATGCGTCATAACTGGCGCGTAACATTGTCCTGATGTACACACTTGATAGCTTCTTCGAGAACTGTCCGAAGACGCCATTCGCCATCACTACATACGCTTATGTTCCTTTGCATGACTCATTTCCTTTATTCTTGACTGGAAACGCTCGATTGCACTCTAAGTAAGACAAACTTCCTCACCCTCCCCCCCAGCCCGGTATTTGAAAACTCTCCAT